GTCTATCCAAGACCCACAGTGTTTTCTAAGCCCTCCTCGTTGAATTAAAGCCAGATCCTGTACCAGTAAGGACTAGAAGACCTATGGCCTACATTAAGGTATTGGGTCTCAAGAGTATTAAATGGAGCACAACATATAAAAACGCAATCTACCCACCAGGGAGCAAATATACAGCTGTATGCAATGCATGGAACATTTTACAAAGAGGAAAGTGATCAGAGTGTTCTTAGGAAAAAATGTGTTCACGTTTTGCTATTATCAGATCCAATGGTTAATTCTTGGCATCAGTTCCTCAGAGGCAAGATAGAAATAACATGGCTCCATCACATAGGGTTACTGAACTGTCTGCATACAAAGTATATTGCATAAGCAAGTAAAAAAAAAAAAACAGTTGCCTTGGATCCCATAGTAGGAGAAAGGTAGGATATAAATGAAATAGACTAATGAGAGAGAAAAAGAAATAGTTTCTGCAAGTTTGCCAAAACTTGTCCTGGAACTCTACATGTTGCAGAATAAAAAGTCTTTATTCTAGAACAGCTTCAATAACCACTGAGAGATCCTTGGGACACTAAGGCCCCTTCTACACTGTCATATAATTGAGATTATCAAAGCAGATAATCCACATTAATGCCATGTCCAGAGGTTGATTTTGTTCCCAGCATTTTTCTCCTCTTCTGACTCCCGTTCCCTCCCAACCATTTGATAGATCTTTCTTCTCTTTGAGGGGTGCCTGTTTGTCTGCCCTGTGTAGGCCTTTCACACCTTTACCCTTTCTACACTGTCATATAATTAAGATTATCAAAGCAGATAATCCACATTATCGGCTTTGAACTATATTATATGAGTCTACACTATCATATTATCAAGTTCAAAGCAGATAATCTGGATTTTATACACATAGTGTAGATGCGGTCTACATACTGGAAACCTGTATAGATACCAAACATAGACGCTCAGGATAGACTATCAACAGAAAAGGATTTAAAAAAATAGTTTCTGCAAGTTTGCAGAAACTTTTCTTGAAACTTTACATGTTGCAGAATAAAAAAGCTGTATTCTAGAACAGCTCCAATAACTGTTGAGACATCCTTGGGACATCAAGGCCCCTTCTACATTGCTGTATAATTGAGATTATCAAAACGGATAATCCACGTTATCTGCTTTGAATTGAATTATACGAGTCTCCACTGCCATATAATCCAGTTCAAAGCAGATTTATTTATTTTGCATAAAAAACATTGTATAAATTAGTATAAAACTGATAAAAATCGAAGGAGTGCAGGCAGCTAAATATCTTTTGACCAAAAACGGGCAACGGTATTGTCTGTAGCCTCCAACAATTCTTCCTCTGTACATGAGGCAGAGCGTAATGGACAAGCATACAGACACGGAGTTGTCTGTTCTGCTCCACAGTCACACAAGGGGGACATGGAAAGAGCCTCCTCGAAGACTGAGCAAATACAGTCGGGTGTCCCCCGGGCAATGTTAATCTTTCCAAACCCAAAAGCATTGCTTTTGAACATTCCGAAGCAGATAATCTGGATTTTATACACACAGTGTAGATGGGTTCTACATTCTTCCTTGTGAACTGGAAACCTGTATAGATACCAAACATAGATTCTCAGGATAGACTATCAACAAAAAAAGGATTTGAAAAATAGTTTCTGCAAGTTTGCAGAAACTTTTCTTGAAACTACATGTTGCAGAACAAAAAGTCTTTATACTAGAACAGCTCCAATAATCATTGAGACATCCTTGGGACACCAAGGACCCTTCTACATTACTGTATAATCAAGGTTATCAACACAGATAATCCACATTATCTGCTTTGAAATGGATTCTATGAGTCTGCACTGCCATACAATCCAGTCCAAAGCAAATAATCCAGATTTCATACACACAGTGTATATGGAGCTATTTCCCGCCCTGTGAACTGGAAACCTGTATCGATACCAAATACAGATGATCACCAGTGGTTCTCAACCTGTGGGTCCCCAGATTTTTGGCCTTCAACTCCCAGAAATCCTCACCGCTGGTAATGACTGGGATTTCTGGGAGTTGTAGGCCAAACATCTGGGGACCCCAGGTTGAGAACCACTGGGATAGACTATTGACAAAAAAAACCTATTTTAAAAATAGTTTCTGCAAGTTTGCAGAAACTTCTTGAAACTTTACATGTTACAGAATAAAAAAAAGTCTTTATTCTAGAACAGCTCCAATAACCATTGAAACATCCTTGGTGCACCAAGTTCTCCCCCGCGAACTGGAACCTGTATGGATACCAAACATAGATCTTCAGGATAGACTATTGACAAAAAAGATTTAAAAAATAGTTTCTGCAAACTTGCAGAAACTTTTCTTGAAACTTTACATGTTACAGAATAAAAAGTCTTTATTCTAGAAGAGCTCCAATAACCATTGAGAGATCCTTGGTGCACCAAGTTCTCCCCTGTGAACTGGAAACCTGTATGGATACCAAACATAGATGCTCAGGATAGACTATCAATAAGAAAGGATTTGAAAAATAGTTGTTGCTAGTTTGCAGAAACTTTTCTTGAAACTTTACATGTTACAGAATTAAAAAAAGTATTTATTCTAGAACAGCTCCAATAACCATTGAGCTGCACTAAGTTCTCCCCTGTGAACTGGAAACCTGTATGGATACCAAACATAGATGCTCAGGATAGACTATCAACAAGAAAGGATTTAAAAAATAGTTTCTGCAAACTTGCAGAAACTTTTCTTGAAACTTTACATGCTGCAGAATACAAATTATTTACTCTAGAAGAGCTCCAATAACCATTGAGACATCCTTGGTGCACTACGTTCTCCCTTGTGAACTGGAAACCTGGATGGATACCAAACACAGATGCTCAGGATAGACTATCGACAGGAAAGGATTTGAAAAATAGTTTTTACAAGTTTGCAGAAACTTTTCTTGAAACTTTACATGTTACGGAATTTTAAAAAAGTATTTATTCTAGAAGAGCTCCAATAACCATTGAGCTGCACTAAGTTCTCCCTTGTGAACTGGAACCTGTATGGATACCAAACATAGATGCTCAGGATAGACTAATGACAAAAAGGATTAAATGAATAGTTTCTGTAAATGTGCAGAAACTTTTCTTGAAACTTTACATGTTACAGAATAAAAAGTCTTTATTCTAGAGCAGCTCCAATAACCATTGGGTTGCACTAAGTTCTCCCATGTGAATTGGAAACCTGGATGGGTACCAAACATAGATGCTCAGGATAGACTATCAACAAGAAAGGATTTGAAAAATAGTTGTTGCTAGTTTGCAGAAACTTTTCTTGAAACCTTACATGTTACAGAATAAAACAAAGTATTTAGTCTAGAACAGCTCCAATAACCATTGAGCTGCACTAAGTTCTCCCCTGTGAACTAGAGACCTGTATGGATACCAAACAGAGATGCTCAGGATAGACTATTGACAAAAAAAGGATTAGATGAATAGTTTCTGCAAACTAGCAGAAACTTTTCTTGAAACTTTACATGTTACAGAATAAAAAAATCTTTATTCTAGAAGAGTTCCAATAACCATTGAGATGCACTAAGATCTCCCCTGTGAACTGGAAACCTAGATGGATACCAAACATAGATGCTCAGGATAGATGACTGACAAAAAAAGGATTAAATGAATAGTTTCTGTAAATGTTCAGAAACTTTTCTTGCAACTTTACATGCTGCAAAATACAATCTTTATTCTAGAGCAGCTCCAATAACCATTGGGTTGCACTAAGTTCTCCCTTGTGAACTGGAAACCTGGATGGATACCAAACATAGATGCTCAGGATAGACTATCAACAAGAAAGGATTTGAAAAATAGTTGTTGCTAGTTTGCAGAAACTTTTCTTGAAACTTTACATGTTACAAAATAAAAAAGTATTTAGTCTAGAACAGCTCCAATAACCATTGAGCTGCACTAAGTTCTCCCCTGTGAACTGGAAATCTGTATGGATACCAAACATAGATGCTCAGGATAGACTATCAACAAGAAAGGATTTAAAAAATAGTTTCTGTAAGTTTGTAGAAACTTTTCTTGAAACTTTATATGTTACAGAATACAAAGTCTTTATTCTAGAGCAGCTCCAATAACCATTGGGTTGCACTAAGTTCTCCCTTGTGAACTGGAAACCTGGATGGATACCAAACATAGATGCTCAGGATAGACTATCAACAAAAAAGGATTTGAAAAATAGTTGTTGCTAGTTTACAGAAACTTTTCTTGAAACTTTACATGTTACAGAATAAAAAAAGTATGTATTCTAGAAGAGTTCCAATAACTATTGAGCTGCACTAAGATCTCCCTTGTGAACTGGGAACCTGGATGGATACCAAATATGGATGCTCAGGATAGACTATCAACAAGAAAGGATTTGAAAAATAGTTGTTGCTAGTTTGCAGAAACTTTTCTTGAAACTTTACATATTACAGAATAAAAAAGTATTTTTAAAGGATTAAATGAATAGTTTCTGTAAATGTGCAGAAGCTTTTCTTGCAACTTTACATGTTACAAAATAAAAAAAGTCTTTATTCTAGAAGAGCTCCAATAACCATTGAGATGCACTAAGTTCTCCCCTGTGAACTGGAAACCAGGATGGATACCAAACATAGATGCTCAGGATAGATTGTACTTGCCATCTTACTTTAAAAAGTAATGTTGCCTTTGTTTTCGAAAGGAAGAAATGCCCATATTTCTGTCAAGAGGGACATTCAAGAGCCCCATTTGATCTTTTCCCCATATGTCTTGGAATAAGTGGGAAACACATTGCACCGATTCTTCTTCCAACCTGCTGCTCTAGTTCTCTCCCAAATAAATGCAGAACTTCCTACTCTTTTCACAGTTCAGGCTGGTGGATAGGCATTCCGGCTGATGGGGACCGTGAAAGCATCATTGTTAAGCGCAACATCGAGGGCTCGGCACGGAGGAGGAGGAGGAGGAGGGGAAGGCGGGAGAAAAGACGCAAGCAGATCTTACCTTAGCAGCTTAACTGCATACTTGTTTTAAGGACTGTCAGTCTGGTTAGAAATCACTCAGTGAAAGGATGCAGCTGAGCTTGGCACTGACAGATTGCCAAAGGGGCGTCCCACTTCCCTATCACAAAAGAGAAAGAAAGAAAGAGATGATGTAAAGTGAAATGCAACAAATTCACCCAAATCGCAGCAATAGGCAGAGGACAAGGAAATTCAACGGGAAAGGTTAAAGATGAAATCAAATCCGGCGTTATGAGAATGGAAATCTATCCCAAAGCAAGGCCGGCGGTGACGTGTCGTAGACAAGAAGCTAAATACTGCATAGCGCTGGGATCTTTCATTTTCATCAGATCAATAAAAGCTTATATTTATCAGGATTCCAAGCAGCTGCCACTTCTGACAACCTCCACTTTATTTCCCTCCCTCCTTGAGCTAGATCAGGGCAAAGAGGAGCCGGGGAAAGGAGAGAGAAAAAGCCGCTTTTAATGCTATTTACACCTGAAGTCACAATTCCATTAAGAGGGCCTGTTTTGTTAAAGAAACAGGGATTGATATTATTATATTGGCAGGAGCTGGAAACTCTCTTTGTTCTTCCCTCCGCGTTCTCTACCCGCCACCCTTTTCGCAATTCCGACCCAGCAAGAAGATTTTCTGACATTAAGTGCACTTTTTTGTGTGTGTTCAAACTTACCATTTACAAAGAGAGGAAAGGCTTGCTGCTAAAACAGTTACTACTCTAATCATCTGTACAACAATATTTGCTATCAGGCATTCTAAATAGATTATCACCAGTCCATCTGTGTCATTATTGATTTATAAGGCTTTAAGCGGCTTTAAAATGGAAGCTTTCCCACTAAGGGGTTCCTTGTATAAATCAGAGCCGTACTCAAATATAGCAGCCATCACTCAAGGAAGAAAGAAAAAAAACTCCAAGATAGAGATAGAAACGATATTTAGGAAGAAAATGATAAATTGCTCGTAATATCCTGATCCAAACTGATATGCAAATCTTATGTTTTAAATATATGACTTAAAAAAAAAAGAGAGGCGTCATTAACATATGAATGCTATATGCAAATGATAGTGACAGAGCAGATGTTGGTGCATGTAATTGACCTATATTGAGAATTGCATCAGAACCCTTAACTCTATTAATTCACTACCCGGTAACTAGATATTGTCCAAAAAAAAAAAGTACATTCTTTGAAACCAGACACTGGAAGTAAATCTGACAGGGTTCCAAGGATGCAGGAACAAGGTCACTGTCACCCGTATTTTGCTGTCATCTGCATTCTGCTCCTTATGGGTGACATCATCAAGTGCCTGTGTAAATCGATCACTTAATAGCATTTAGAAAATACTGCAATACGGAACAGGTTCGGAGACGGTGGGTGAGCGGGGGGGATGGTAATGCCCCAGTTTTATTCTTTTTCTTGGCAGAAATGTCATACCTCTTAAACTGAGGCTTTTTTATATATATTTTTGCATGAGTGCACTGTGAAACACACAGATGCCATTTTATTCCCTGTCTTTATTTCTGCCCCCCCCCTCCACCCCGCACCCCCCCCCCCCATCTTCTTCACAGAATGACATCAAATTGTATTAAATAGCCTTTTGTCCACAGGGCACAGACCACCCTGTATATGATAATGCATTAATGCCCCCACGTTCTAACCACTGAGCTGAAACATTCTGAGACTTGGAGGAGAGAAAGTATGAAGCCCCATTGTGTGTATTGCCTGCTAACAACTGTGACACATACTAATAGAAACATACCTAATAAATTACTGCTTTCAGGTCTACCAAGCTGACATTTCTCTGCAAGGGACAATTTTATATTTGTGGCACAGAACAAAATTGCTTCATATGAAGCTACTGTGGATTAGCATAAAAATTAACACTTAAATTTCAGCTTATTTTCGTACCCTCTCCTCCTGCCACAACAATCAATTCCTCTTATAAATCTGATTAGATTTTATGATGCTTATTATTCAAAGCATGTCTCGACACAGCATTCACAGGCTTGAAGACTATTTGTTTAAATAGGGAAAAAAAGCAGCAGATAAATCTATAGGTATTTTTTTATTACCCCATTCCCAGCCAGTTTCTTTCTCATATTGTAGCATCGGTAATTGATTGCACACATTAATTAACATGTAAGGTAGAAATTCTGCATTATGCATGATTTATTTTCCTATCTAGTTAGTAGCATTGTCTGCTGACCTTGTGCTTCGAGGACATTGGACTCGATTCGGGTCCACACATAAATGCCAATGTGCATTCCCCCGAAAGTTATTAATGTCAGATATGAAATGAGATTTCTGATTTCACCTGCTTACCAAACCACAAAAGCTGTTTGGAACGAGGCAGGCTTAAAAATACAGAAATCCGAGAATGATCAATTGCTGTATCTGATAGCACGCAACGGTGTTCATTAGATGTAATTTAGCAGGAGAGAATGGCAATACTCTTAGAACAAGTCCGGGTCAAAAATGGCTGTTAATTAAACAAGTCATGAAAAATGGGCATTGTGCGTAAAATGTCCACCAGACATCCCACTTTATGACGGGAGAAGCCTGACCTGACAGAACGCCAAGTGGGCTGATTTATATTTTTTAAAAGCGAAGGACTGAATTCAAAAAGCTCCCCAATAATTTAATACGTTACAGTAAGAGATTGGCTTAAATGTGTATATGCCAAAGCTCAGCTCATATGAACAGGAGGAAACATGTGCACCGAGTTTCCCTCGGCAACTGGCGTCTTCCATGTCCGTTAGTTGATGAATCCACTCTGGATTTCAATTCAGATTTCAAAGGAGTGTTGCACTCCAGGACAGGAAGAATCATCACACGTTAAATAGGAAAACACTATTTATTTATTTATTTATTTATTATTTAAAAGTTTTGTATACCGACCTTCTCACCTCTCTTGAGGGACTCAGACCGGTTTCCAACCATAATATCACATACAATCAATAAAACATCATAATACATATTACAGTAAAACATTAAAACATCAATTACAATCAATAACTATAATGGTCAGTCGTCACACTAAAATCGTTGCTCATCATCCTCCATCCATATCTCAGGGTGTTGGCTCACTCGTCGAATGCCTGTCTCCATAACCAAGTCTTCACCTGTTTCCTAAATGTCAGGATAGACGGGGCGGTTCTGATCTCCAGTGGGAGAGAGTTCCAGAGTCGAGGGGCCACCACCGAGAAGGCCCTGTCCCTCGTCCCCACCAGACGCGCTTGCGAGGCCGGTGGGACCGAGAGCAGGGCCTCTCCAGACGATCTTAATAACCTTGATGGTTCATAGGGGAGAATACGTTCGGAGAGGTAAACAGGGCCGGAGTCGTTTAGGGCTTTATAGGTTAACACCAGCACTTTGAATTGTGCTCGGAAGCTAATTGGCAGCCAGTGGAGCTGGCGTAACAGCGGAGTGGTGTGCTCCCTGTACCCAGCCCCGTTAGTAATCTGGCTGCCGCGCGTTGGACTTGCTGCAGCTTCCGGGCAGTCTTCAAAGGCAACCCCACGTAGAGAGCATTGCAGTAGTCTAAACGGGATGTAACCAGAGCGTGGACTACCGTGGCCAAGTCAGACTTCCCAAGGTACAGGCGCAGCTGGCGCACAAGTTTTAATTGTGCAAAAGCTCCCCTGACCACCGCCGAAACCTGGGGTTCCAGGCTCAGCGATGATATATCTATTAGCTGTCCCCTGCCACGCGTTGCTGTAGCCCACATGGGGGTTCTGTGTGGGAGGTTTGGCCCAATTCTATCGTTGGTGGGGTTCAGAATGCTCTGTGATTGTAGGTGAACTATAAATCCCAGCAACTACAACTGCCAAATGTCAAGATTCTATTTCCCCAAACTCCACCAGTGTTCACATTTGGGCATATTGAGTATTCGTGTAGAGTTTGGTCCAGATCCATCATTGTTTGAGTCCACAGTGATCTCTGGATGTAGGTGAACTACAACTCCAAAACCCAAAGACACTGCCCACCAAACCCTTCCAGTATTTTCTGTTGGTCATGGGAGAACTGTGTGCCAAGTTTGGTTCAATTCCATCGTTGGGGTTCAGAATGCTCTTTGATTGTAGGTGAACTATAAATCCCAGCAACTACAACACCCAAATGACAAAATCAATTTTTTTGAGTGAAGGACATACATTGGGTTGTTAGGTGTCTTGTGTCCAAATTTGGTGTCAATTCATCCAGTGGTTTTTGAGTTGTGTTAATCCCACAAACAAACATTACATTTTAATTTATATAGATAAGGAAGAGAAAGCATCTAAGTAAAAAGCACTTAAAAGGAAATAGGTAAATCCAATTAGGTAAGAAGATAAGCAGAAGCAAATTAATCCAAGGTAGAGTTCAGCAAAGTCCATAAAGTAAAGTCTATACTTCTCTAATATAATCCAGAAAAACAGGAATACATTGATCCAAGGCTTGGATGAGCAATCAATAAATCCAGGAATCAAAAACCATGACACAAGAAATATCTTAACATGAATCTTCAAAGCAGAGCTTCCATGAAACAAGGACACGAACTAGGCATGATTCTAAATGATGCTTCATCTGACTGCATTTTCCATGCTTGGAACTTTTAAGCCTTTCCAAGCACTCAGAAACTGGTTTCGCTTTCCTTGAGTGGCCCTTATCTTTTTCTGTTGAAGCCTGGCAGAACGCCGAAGGCATTGCTCGGCCTGCCTGTTTTGACTAATTTCTGCCCGCCTATCTATATGCTCATTAGTATCTGCAGGTGCCGAGTTGTTTTCAAGCCCCAAATCCTGGGAACTCTCTGGGAGCAATTCAGGGAGTAAACCATCATCCCTATACCCTGTAGGAACATTCTCATGGGAAACTACACTTGGAACAGGTGCCTCTCTGTCATTCTCTGCATCAATATCACTGACCAAACCATTGCCATCTTGAACCTCTTTTACATCATTTCCCACATCCAAAGCACCCTGATCCAGAAACACAATCACAGGTTGAATTCCAACAAGGAGTTTCTTGAAAATCTGGATTAAAATGGTTCCAGCCCATCTTACCTATTTGAATGTATTTTCCCCTTTGAACCACCTTGGAGATTAAGATTGTCTAGGAGGCCCTGCTTTCA